ATAATAGGGTTGTTATGTATTAGACTTAAAGATTTTTTTTAGTATATTAATAGTTTTTTTTGTATATAATCTTTGTGTAATTGAAATATAAATAATAAAATTAGTTAAATATGTTTAGAAATTTATTAAAAGCTAGTAATAGTAATATAAGCTTTTTTGAAGTGCATTGTTAACTATAGCTCTAATTGCTTTGAGTATTTGTTTATCCTTATTTTAGATTTGTAAAAAGCTTTTTGTATAATAAATAGTCTTATAAATTATAAAAAAGATATAAGTAATAAAGTTATTATTTAAGAAATATTGTAATATAAGTATTTGCTTAATCAAAATATTAATAGTTTGTAAATATTTGCATCAGTAATTGTAATTTAGTTGGTTTGCCTATATATAGCTAAAGCATTATTGTATAAATTTATATATTTTTTTAGTATACTAAAATAGTATTCAGGTTTCTTGTAAAAGTAATAAAAAATCTAATATTAAGATATTTAAATTTAAGAAATATTGCAGATAAGATTGTAAATTAAGCTAATGTAGTAATTAGTTTGTAATTAATAAATTATAAATTTTAGTTAATATTTGAAATATCTTAAAATTTACTTTATAGTCTAGACATATTTGTAATTGAATAGATAAAAAAAGATAAAGACAAATGAATTATAATTCTATATAACATTAACAGTAAGTATAAAATAGTTCCTAAAATAAAAATTGGTTTCTTACTTTGTTAGTAATGATTTAATTATTAAATACATAATAGGCCATAGTTTTTTGTATAAAAAAATATTCAGTTAAATAATTATAATAGTTTGTACTAGTAAAGTGTAACTGTTAGTAGAGTATATAATTATATAAGTGTTTGTAGCTTGGCTTTCTAAATAATTAAACCAAAATAGTTGTTTACCTTTAATAATTTGTTTATATATAGAGATATGTTTTTTTAATCCAAAAAACATAAGTTATTAAATATAATAAGTTGGTTTTAATAAAGAATATAGTGGTATCTAAATTATTTTTTAAATATTGAGTATTTAAAATATAATGAAAGTAGTAATTTAAGTAAAATAAACTTTTTTTAAATAGAGTGTTAAATATTATATAATGAATTAAATGCAAAAATTATATTAAGATGTTAAAAGTTAAATAATTTTGAAGTTAAAAAAATATTTGCTAGCCTTATCTATAATAGAATTAGAATACTAGTAAATGATTACAAGTTATTTTGAAGTTGTAAAGTCTAATATAAGTACTTATTTCTAAAAGATTAAAAAAATTAAATCTTTTAATAAGGTTTGTAATATGATGTTATTACAAATATTATATAGCTAAAAATGAAGTAATGTGCTAATAGAGATTGTATAATGAGTTTGGCTTTGTTTTTTACAAGTTTTATATAACTTGTAAGGATTTTGTTATATATATTTTGGCTAAGAATAAAATTATAAAAATAATATTTATTCTAAAGCTAATAATAATATTAATAATATAATGAAAGATTAAGTTCTATAGTGTAATAATTAGGCTGTCAACTTCTTACAGATAAGGTCAATAGTTCAAGTTAAACTAAAAGCAAAGTCTAAAAATTTTAAACTCTTTAACCTAAAATAGAAGTATATCTGATATAAAGCCTTATAAAAAGTCATAAGATAAAGTACAAAAATAGATTAGAAATTCTTAAAAAGATTATCTTTGCAGAAAAAAAATACTATATATGGCAGTAATGTTAAAGAAGGTTTGTTATATGAAGTATTATACAAGTAAGTTTTCTAAAAGATGGTAGCACTAACATTTTTGTATTTAAATTGCAGAGTGCTTGATTAAAAAGATGATACTAATATAACTAAAGTAGTAAATAAAGTGGGCATGCAAAAAAGATCTGTAATAAAAGATTAGTTTAACCAAAATTGAAACATTATTAGCAAATACTATAAATTTTAAAAAAGCAGAACAAAGTTGTATATTACAACATTATTAATGATCACTACACTCATATGTAGTAAGTCAAAGTTTTAAACCTTCTTACAATACCAAGCTAAAAGTACAATAGTATAATAGTAGTAGTATATTTGGCATATAATTGCAAAAAGCATCTGCATGCTTATGCTACAGATCAAACTAACAATGGAAGTACATTAAAAAAATACATAGTAGTTGCAAATAAGAAGCCAAAATTTTAATAAATTTGACTGCTAATAGATATCAACATATAAAAGGCTATGTATACCAAATTAGTAACAAAAAAAAAAACTGCCAAAGTCAATTAATCTGAAAAAAGAAAAGAGTTATTGCAAAAAAATAATAAGATGATTATAATTAGTTAAAATTAAAAAATATAGTATAACAAGATAGCTACAGCTTTATCTCAGTTAAGTAATAATAATTAAAATACTTTAGTTTTAATAATAGAATAGAAAGATATAGAAATAATATTATATTGTATGGCTATAGTACAAAAAAATATAGTAATACAAAAGTGTGGTGATCTAGTGAAGTAGATAGATTGGCATCCTCCAAGTGGCAGGTCTAGAGTTCAAATCTTAATGACAATAAAAATTTGCAATTCTTTCTGTGTTATGGTTAACTGTTTTCTATAATTGGTTGAAATTAGATATCTGTAATCTGTATTATACTAGCATGACTGAAAGGTCTATGCACTCATACAATGTTGTACAAAGGAACACAAATCAGTACTAGGTAGTATGAACTTAAGATAAGTCCTTAGATCATATAAATCACAAACTAAATAAAAAGATGAAAGCCTACTGAAAGACCTAAGTAGAGAGGTAATCTGAATTTTTAACAGTGCTACTATAAAGACTAGACTTATAAAATAGAACTATAACTTGTGAAACTAGGCAAATCTGCTGGTCTTTGAGAAGAGACTAGATGAACCAACCAGGCCATCAGAATTAATAAATTTTAGAGAAAAAGAGTACATGCTGGCAAACATGTAAATCAGAGATGTATAGTTTTGACCTACCTTTCTGGGTTATCTAGAATGGCAGCTTGGTGAAACTTGAATTGAATACCAAAGTAGTAAGGATATGTTGTAAAGTCAGTACTGAGGTTGGGATGAACTCTACAAGAGCATAGCAGTTGAATAATATGCCCTAACCATCAGTGTTGGTTTTAGCCATAGCAATACCAGGTCAGCTATAAGAATAGAATACAGAAGATTCTAAAAGGTTTAGTACAAAGTTAAAGGTTTCAAAAAACTGCTTTAAAAATTTAGTAGCTATGGCATATTTTTATTAGCATTGGTCAAGGTTATTGGTAAACAGAAGTAGATAGATGGATATAGAAACTAGAGTGGTTAAATAGAAAACCTACAAGCAGATTCCAGGTATAGTAATTAGTGTAGAACCTTTAGGCAGACTACTTAAATTAGACAATGATTAAAGTTATACAAGTTGCTAGTTGTACACTCTTTCTATAATTGCCTCCTGTAGTTGTAATACAACTATTAGCCAAATATATTATTAATAAAATCCTGGGTTACAAGTACTCACTTTAATATTTTTTTTTAAAAAAAAGAAAAGAAATAAAGTAATACAAATAATAATATAAAAATTGTAATAATAGCATAAAGCTAAATAAAACAAATTTACAAATTCTTATTATAAAAAAAAATAATAATGTAATATGTATAAATGTTAGTAATTTGCTTATTGCTTACAATTTTAATAAAATATGATAATTTTACAATAATTATTTTGGTTTGTTTATTGTTAAATGTAAACCAATATTTAAGAAATTTAAATAGTTTTATTTGATAAAAAAAATTAAGAAGATAGTTATTGTTTATAATAAAAGTATAGTTTATTTGTTTGTTATTAGTTGTAAATACAGATTTAGAAGATTTAATTTAAATATTAGTTATATTAAAAAATTATTTAACTATAAAAAAAATTTGTAATACTTGTTATAAAAATACAATCTAAAAAGTATTATTTATATAACAAAAACTGAGCAATATTGTTAAGCTTATTGTGTATTTGATATTTAAAATTAGTTAGCCAAAAAAATTGTATACTATAGTCTTTAAAGTTGTTGTAAATATATAAGATAAGTGAATCATAGTAAATTTTATTAAAAAAGAAAATAATAGTTTTATTCTAATTAATACTGTTAAGTACAAAAAATAATATAATAAGCCAAGATTTCTAATAACTTAAATTTGTTAATTAGTAAATATGTAATAGTAAGATTGGTAATAAAATAAAAAAAAACAAAATATTAAAAAACTTTTAGAAAAGGTAAAATTAATAAAGTCATATGCTTTGCTTATATCTTAAGATAAAACCAAATAATTATAATTATATAATGTATTTTTAGTAAGATTATTAAATATATGAATTAGTATAGATGTGCTGTTGTTAGATAAAGCAACATAATTGTATATTAAGAAAATAAAATGTTAAGAAAGCATAATATAAATTCTAATAATAATAATTTTTGTATAAACTTTTAAATATGCTTGATAAGACTTATAAGGCAGATTAGATTTAAATTATTATTGAATGTATTATATTTTGGAATAAGATAAATTCTATTGTGTTTTTATTGTTTAAAGATTTGATTTAAGTTAAAGCAACAGTTAAATAGAAGAGTATAGCTTTAATACAAATAATATTTGTATATATAAATATTTTATAGCTAATGCTTATAGCTTTACAAGCTTTTCTATTAGAAAATTTTAATAAAATTTAACAAACTTTTTCTTTTGTTATAAAAAAATTAAAAAAATTATATTATTGAGAAAGTTGCAAAAGCAAAAATTCTTGAATTTGAATTCTTGTTTAATTTAGCTACAGATGTAAGTATTCAATATGATTTTTTTGTTCAAATATAAAAAAACAAAAATGTTATTAATGAATGCTTGAAAAAAGTTGATGCACTTAAACAATATACAAATAATCAAGCCTGGATGATAGCAAAGAAAAAGGCAACTTAGTAAGAAAGGTATTGTTGAGCAATAGGATAGTCCTAGAAGACCATCAATGCTTGCACAAAATGTGGGTCTTCTTGAAAATATTTATAATTGTGTTGAATTTGGTAAGGCTAACTAAAAGCATAAAAAATCTATAATTAAAGTTAAACTATTACCTATTTAAAGAAAGCACTTGAGGAAAAATATGAACTTTATATAAGCGAACAAACTTTGTTAACTTATTTTTGGCCAAAGCATCTTAACACTTTTTCAGCAAAGCAGTATTATTATTCTCAATGGTTCAAATTTGGTCAGTATAATTAAATAAAAAATTTGATTATCCTAATAGCCATTATTGCTTTGCTTCAGTAAAGGGTGCTCAAACTTTTGCTTTACTATTTTCTAATTATTCTATAATTATCTCTTAAAATGATAAAGCAAAAGTCCTCTTGGAAATTCTAGCTGTCAGTTAAACTTTTAAATCAGTTAAAACAATTAATGAACCTATTTTTATACCTGATCATAATTTTCTTTTAGGAAATAAAATGAAGCTTATACCTTTTATATATTTTTTAATTAATTCAAAAGATACAAATATATAATTTTTGCTTAAGGTATCTTTCAATTTATATTCAGTCTGAAAATTTTGTAAGTATAACTGCAGCAACTCATATAGTTAACTTGAATTTAATCATAAATTCTAAAGAATATAATGAAATTATATATACAGAAGACAAAGTTAAACTATTATAAATTTTGTTAATAGATGATAGACTAGATGAAATCAAAAATATTTAAAAAATATTATAGAATATTGTAAGTTTTTTGTTTTTTGGATCTTAACTATCTTTTAGTCTGTACTTATACACCAGGACAATCTTTTTACAATTTTGTAGAATGAAGCATGGTTTTTCTTTTTTCTAAATTAGCTGGTATTGTGTTGCCTATAGACCATTTTGGTGCTCATCTTAACTCACAAGGAAAAGTAATTGATAAAGAATTAGCAATAAAAAATTTTTACTTTTTAGAAAAAAAACTTTGTGATATTTGGTAATGTGACAAGATTTATAAAAAAACTGTACAAGTTAATATTTAGATACATATAATAACATGTTTGTAAATAAAAAATTTCATGGCAGTGGATTGAAAAATATTGCCAAATTTATTATTATTTATTTGATATCAATAAATCTTATAATTAAAAATGTTGCAAGCCTTCTTAGGCACTAGAAGCAACTGTTTTATTGTAAAAAAAATAATGAATTCTTACCTTCTGTTATCCAAAAATGTAACTGCTATTTTTTAAACCCTATTCATATTCTTGAACACTATAATAAACTTAAAATTCCTCTTTATAACAAGCATTGTCTCTCAATTTCAACAAAAATGCATTAATGCTTAAGTTGTTCAGAATATAAAATGTATTTTTCTACTTTAAAATTTATTCAAAAACATAAACTTCAACCTACAAATTGTAGAAACCAAAATTCTATCACAATTTTTTTCAAAAATACCCTCTCTAATTTCACAATATATAAAGATTTTATTTAATTGCAAAAGTTATATAATGAAATTGTTTTTGAACAAGGCTTTTCTGATAGTGAAATTTTTTTTTTTTTTTTTTTTTTATAATGCCAATCATAATACTTTATTTTAATTAATACTGGATTAATACATTAGAGTTATTATATTTTATTTGTGCTATTATATTACTATATAGACATCCAATGTGACATTATATCTATACTTTTCTAAATTAAGACTAGTATTATAGTGTTTCAACTATTGTTACTAATTAAGATAAGGTTGTAGCCATCTTGTAATACTATATTCTCTAATTTTATCTAATCATAGTCCCTCTATCTACTTTCTGCAGTTACCTATCTCTTCTCCCAAATTGGTTGACTTCAGCAGTTTCTTGCTACCAATTTGGTATATACAGCCCTCTATGTATTGGTACCAATCGGCATGGCTGGAGTTATCGAGATTTTGAATTATCATCTGCAGCTACTATGTATTCTTTTTTGTATATTCCTATAGTTGTAGTACTATTGTACTTTCAATTTGGTATTGCAAGAGAGCCTAGAACCTTAACTTATTATGTTGAGTATAGTAACCATCAATGATGTTGTAATGTATGACTATTTTTTTGCTTCTTAAGGGTTTATAGTACCTGCCTAAGATGTTCCAATTTTGGTTAGACCAATCCTTTGTCACAGATCTTCTTTGCATGCACCACTTCACTCATTACTTCAGTTTTAACTATATTAGTATTACCCTTCCAATTAAGTCTCTGCAAGTTGAGTACAGAGATGTTGATGCTGCCTCATCTCAATAAGACTTACTCATGCAATGCTTTTAGTAGTAGAACCTTCAGTAATGTTACTGTCACACATAGTGCCTTCTCTCTGCAAAGTCAATCTTCTTCCAGGAATTCCTAATTCATTCTTGTACTTCATCTTGGGACTTACCACAGGGCTTTACATCCAATTTGGCTCTTATATTAGATTACAGAATTAAAATTCTTAAATTTTGCCTTCAGCCTGACTTGAACCATTGACCTTATCTGTGGGAAGTTAGCAGTTTAACAATTAAGCTATGGAGCCCAACCAACCTGATAATGAAATCTTTAAATAATATTGTATTAATATTTTTACAGTATAAATAAAGTTTTTGAATCAAATAAAAAACAACTTATTGAAATAAAGCAGTAACTATTAGCCAAATTAATATTGTATAATAATAATAAAATTTGTATAACCTTAAAAATTCTATATAAAAACTTGTAAAAATTAGAAAAAAATTTAATAATACATTGGTATATTTAGTGTATCCTATTTTACTATTATCAAATTTGAGTTAGAGACAGATTAAGACTAGGTTTATAGTTGTAAAGAATTTTAAATAAACTGCTGCCTAATATAAAAAAGTACAATTCTTTTTTTTTTATAATAAATTTTATAATTTATATTAGATATATTACAATAATTTGTTTAGATACTAATTTTCATATATTACCAAGTAACTTTAATCAAGAAAAGCCATCTTCACCAAAGATTTTAAACTCCAAATACTATATCACTTTAGAACTAAATACTATCAATATTTGAATAAAAGTTAAAAGATAATAAGTATTTGTTGTTGTTTTGAGAAACAGTAATAAAGTGATCATTATTGCAAGATTAGATGACTTTAAAAGCAAATTATTTGTATACAAATATGTATCTTTTTATGGTTTAATGTTTTCATTGTTTCTTGTTAGTACTGAAATAATATATAAATATTTTAAATTGGTTATCTATGAATTGAAAATAAGTGGTAATTATTAACTAAGGATAGGGGAATGTTATAAAGTTTTGCAGTGACATAGAGTAAGAAGGGTTGATAATTAGTTTAGAGATAATTATTTAAGAGTTGTTCCTTTGAGAAAAATTTGTATTTTTATGTTTACTATTGTTTGCCTAGTAGTTAGACTGGCTTCGATACCCTCCCTACTTATTCAGTCCTAAAAACAAAATATATATATATTTATAAGCTTCATAGTTGTACACAGTGCAAGAACTTATGATAATAGACTCTATGACTACAAGAGCAGTACAAGAATCTAAAATTCTAATCTGAAAGTTTTATATTTGTAAAAAGCAGTTAAGTTGCTCTATAGCTTCATAGTTGTATTAGCAGTGCAAGAACCTTATTTTTAAATAATTTAGACTCTAAGGCTGCAATAAAAGTGCAAAGACTTTACATTCAGATACCATTCTATTTTCTGGCAATTCTCATTATAGTTATATAATTTTTATAAAGAAAAACTCTAATACCTATAATATAGTTATATATAAGTAAATTAGTATTAGTATTGTTTCAATATAGTGAACCTTTTTCTATATATTATTTCATCAATATATATATTAATAAAGTTCTAATCAAGCAATAATAATTTGGGCTTCTCAATTTTTTTTATTTTTTATAAACACTTTTAATGCAAGAAGTAAAATTATAATTTGTTGAATAGCAATTTTGTTTGAGTGATCTTTTTGAATACTTAATTGATCATAAAATTTTCAAAGAAAGTATAAAAAAAAGGTAGTTTGTTGTAAAAAGTTTGTTAATTAAAATAACAACTTATTTAAACTTTTTACTAATTAAAAATACTTTATTTACATAATAAACATTATCAAGTTATGCATAATTATTGTAATAAAAAATTCCTTTAACTAATTTTAAATATTTTTTGCTAAATAAAATTTATTTTGACACTTTTTAACCTTTAAATTGTGGTGTTTAAGAATACTCTAAATTGTGTAATCTGAATTATGCTATTTTATTAGCTAAATCAATAAGGTGCACTATATAATATATAACAAATTACAAAAATAAACTAAAAAATATTAAATTAAATATGTGAAGTAATGTATATATAAAATTTATTATCTAAAAAATTCTTTAATTAAAGTTAGTACATATTATAAATAATTTAATATTAATATAGCATTGTATAGACCTGATAGAATTCTAACTCTTCACTTTTCTAAAAAATTAAATGATTTCTTTTCTTCTCTTATATAATGTTATACATATATAGACTAGGTAATTATCTATTAGCAGTTAAAATTTAATAATTTAAATATTACATAATATATATTAAGACAATATATAATATATACTGCACCTTGGATAAATAAATATATTCTTGTTTTTTTTATTTAATTATTTTTTTGTTTTTTTTTTGTTTTTTGTATTTTTCATTAATTTAATTATATCAAATTTATTATTTTATTTTTATTTATATAACAAGATTAAAAATCTATTTAATAGGTTGTTGATTCTTGAATTTTTATCAGCTACTTACTAGTTAACTTAAGAGCCTATTCATAAAGCCTTTTTACATAAATAAACATTCGATAATTGTTTATATAAAAGTAGGCTCTCAATTTTATTAAGAATTGTGTAATAACAATTAGTATTGGCAGGTTAAACTTAAGAGTCTTGCCACAAATGAAAGTCAAAACTAGTTTCAACTTTCATCAAAAAAAAAATCAAAATAATAAAATAGCAAAATGGTGAATTTGGTAAAAATGATAAAACTGTAAAACTGATGAAACTGCTTATAGCTAGCAACATTTGAAAAAAGGTTAAGCAAGCAAGTATAGAAAGATAATTGAAGAAAATTAAGTTTTTTATATAATTATTAATATTTTTTATTTATATATATATAGCATAGCATAGTACTTTTATTTCTCATACAACAATTTAATTAGCTAATTTTGTTAATTATTGTTGTATGAATTTAATAAAAAAATAAAGTTTTTTAAATTTTTACTAATTATATTATAAAAATAAACAGCTTAATCTTTTCAGAAGTCTTAGAAAAATTAATCTTTATTAAGTTTTAAGTTTTTCTAAAGGTTCAACTTTAGCAGGAGTTTTGCCAGAATTTTGATGTTTCATTAGAGTTTTACTATTTTACCATTTTGACAGGTTTTATCTTTCACCATTTGTTAAAAATAGTTTTAACTGCCAATACTAATAACAACTAAATAATTTAATAAAGTATAAAAAATGGTTTGGTAAGTATATAAACATTTCTTTATTATATTATTTAAATTTTTTTTTAACTCTTATTAATAAATTACTTATATTTTTTATTAGAATTTTTGTTCTTAGTTTATTACAAATTATTAAAGATAATCTTTTTTTTATGTTATTTTATTAATTGCTTTAGCTTTTTATCTTTTTAACTTTTTATCTCTTTAATTCTATTTTTTTAACTCTTTATTTCTCTAATTTTCTTTTTTTTTGTTTCTTTATTTTTTTAATTTTTTATCTTTTTGTTTCTTCATTTTTCTGTTACTTTATATTTCTGTTTTTATACTGTTATGATCTAAAATAGGATCACCAATATTCTATTTAAATTAGACTGAATAATGAAATATTAATATACAATAATTATTAGATATAGCACATATACAGAGCATAATTAGCAGATATAGCATAATTAGTATAATTAGGAGATGTAGTGTAATTAGCATAAATAATAAGGGGTGTGGCAACTTA